CTGCAGCGGCAGCTGCAGCAGCAGCAGCAACAGCAGCGGCAGCAGCGTGTGTTCCCTATGGTGATGCTGCTAGTGTGTCTCGAGCCCGAGACCAACTTATTTGATCAGCTGCAGCTGCAGACAGCAGTGGAGACAGCGAGCGGCGTGCAGCTGCTGCGGCTGTCCCCGCAGCAGCTCTACGACTTGTGGCAGCAGCAGCAGCTGTTGCTGCTGCACCCCGATGGCAGCAGCAGCAAGTGGAAATCCGCCAGGGCAGCAGACGAGCCCTGCCCGCCCGCAGGCCGTCTGCTGCTCCGCAGCCTGCCTCCAGGCCGCGGCCCCCGCTGCAACTGCCCCCAGCAGCAGCAGCAGCAGCAGCAGCAGCAGCAGCAGGAGTCCAGCTGCTGCTGCTGCTTGCACGAAGTGTCGCTGCTGCTGCTGCGGTCGCTGTACTGCCCCAGCCACTACCCACACGAAGGCATTTGGCAGCTGAGAGAAATGCTGGAGGTCTCCGACGCAATTAAAGTCCCTTCAGTTGCTGCGCAGCTCGCGGGCACAAAGAAGGTGCAGCAGCTCTTCAGCAGGGACCTGCAGCAGCTCCTGCGGCTGCAGCAGCAGCAGCAGCAGCAGCAGCGGGGGTGCTCCGCTGCGTCCGCACAGGTAGAAGATGTCCTGCAGCGCTTCTTGCCCTGCCCAGCAGCAAGAGCAGCAGTTCGCGAAGTGCTGCAGCCCCACGTTGACCCTGCAGACACGCCTTTTCCAGCAGCAGCAGCAGCGCCCGCTGCAGCAGCAGCAGCAGCAGCAGCAAGCACCCCACTGGAAGCCTTGAGTCTAGCTATGGTCAAAGACGCTGTGGCTAACCCCCAGCTCTATTTGCTGAAGCCCCAGCGGGAAGGCGGGGGCAACAACGTGTGCGGGCCGCTGCTGCAGCAGCTGCTCTCGCGGCACCTTGCTGCTGCTGCTCCTGCTGCTGCTGCTGCTCCTCCTGGCGCCCACTCTGCTGCTACTGCTGCTGCGTCTGCCCCTGCTGCTGCTGCTGCTGCTGCAGGCCTTGCTGGGAAGGCCCCAGACAGGCTTCAGTCTTACGTCCTCGTGCGGCGCATGTTCCCTCCTGTGCTGCCTTCTTTGTGTTTGAGAATGGAAGCAGAGCAGCAGCAGCAGCAGCAGCAAGGGCTCTTTTCGTCGGTGCAGTGCCGAGCCATTGCAACTGTGGGGGAGCTGGGAGTTTTCAGTGCGTTTCTGTACTGCGGAGAAGGGCAGCAGCTGCTAAGCAGCAGCAACGGCAGCAGCAGCAGCAGCAGCAGATATGAGCTCAACGTCAGCTGCGGGACGCTGCTGAGGTCAAAAGCAGCAGCAGCAGATGAAGGTGGAGTTGCTGCTGGTTACGCCCAGCTGGACTCGCCTTTGCTGTTTGCAGGAGATGAGGCGTGGGCCCTTGTGCAGCAGCTGCAGCAGCTGGGAAGCACCTGGGCGTAACTGCTTGTGTCTTTCCTGCTGCTGCTGCTTCTGCAAAGGTCTGCCTGCGCTCTGCTGCTGCTGCTGCCACTGCTGCTGAGGAAGTCGCAGGTAGCGCAGCGAATGCGATATAAGGGCAGCAACAGCTGCCGCTGTTGCAGCCTCAGCAGCCTCTTGCAGCAGCAGTAGCAGTGGCAGCAGCAGCAGCAGCAGCAGCAGGCGCTGCC